TATTAAAATTAAAATTGCCTAAAATTATTTTAACATTTTTAAAAATATATTAGTTTGGTTTCTAAAAGCACCACAGATTTTGTCCACACGTTTTCAGCTCATGTACAAATGAGCAAAGACGATCACAAAACATTTTTAGTCCTTCATATCCCTGTTAAAAATGTAGCGACCACATTTGTCATAATATTTTGTAGAAAATTATCCAGTGATTAAATAACAAGGTCTTTTTGACACAAATTAACCAAATTAGATTTATAATGTGCTCGTTACAGCTGTCAGATTGAAGTTGTTTATTTATGATTCATGGTAAAAAACAAAAAATTCTTAAAGTATCATAGCAACAACACATGGCCTGAATCTTTGTGGGAAGGAGAAAGTTCCGTTCGTGACGATGACAAGCGTCTGAATGGACTCTCACAATGAGTGAAGGCTGAGAGACATGAAACCATCAAGTGTGACAGACAGGAGACATTCATGTTCAGCAGCCTAAGACACAGCTCTGCCTCATCTCCCCTGCAAAGAATTTAATTACCCCATTAGTGACTAAAGATGCCTCTATTTCATGTCAGCGATGCCTCTGCACTCACACGGCAGCTGCAGGAAGTAGTTTGGTGCAGCCCGCGGGCCTGTGAGGGATAACAAAACATTGTCATGTTTCCAAAAGAAGGTCCAGCCGTGTCCTCTTAATGTCCACTCCTGTGTTTGCATTTAATGTACTGTAGTCCTTAGCTGTGAGAGCGGATGAGGGACTGTGGTTCATCCCAGACCTAATGCATCCTGACCTCCTTCACTAATGGCAGTCGGCCTTTTAGATTTACTCAAGGCTGAAATCACTTGTTCTCTATGCAGTGCCCTCTCCTCCAAAACACTGGCTGCTCACTGGCTGGGAACAGTATAAGTAGAGCCTGCAGAGACTTCTGTGCTGTGACCAAAACCATTTCATAAAAGGAACTTGTTGCATCTTAGGAATACAAAAGTTTGACTCTGGTATATGGACGTTAGTGTCCAGGCAACAGAAGATCTCCAACTCAGTCAACAGCGAGGACTTTTTATTTTATGTAAAACGTAATTTGTACAGAAAGCCGCTCCGGATCCAGGTTGTCCTTGGCCCGTCATGTTCCATTTCTCTTCCCTCCTCTCTGATCATTAAGGAGGAATTGATGCGGCCTGTTCATTATGCACAGGCTAAATGGAACCACAATGAAAATCTGCCACTCACTGTCGCTCATGATTGCATTATTCCATTATGGCCCATCTACAGGACGCTCTCAAGTCGAGTCATCAGGCGCGGCCAATGGTGCTTTCCGCTTCCAATTTCCAGCTTCCCGTTTCCTACCATAAATCTTTAAATAACCATTTGGTAACCTCTTATTTGCTGTTGCTACTGTCTCCTGTGCCCCGTACTTTTGGAAGGTATTGTTTCAAAACAGACATTAAATATAAATAACCCTGACAGCATGAGCGTTGTAATGTATTATTTGAGGGAAGGAGAACATTACAGCCGTTCTGCTGTGTGTAGATCACACTGAAGCTCCAATAGACCGCGTTCCCTATTATGGCTCCTTAACCTTTGTACAGTGTAAAGTGAAATAAGGGAGTGTTAGTGATACTAGAGCCATCACAACAACTGGGTTTTTTTTTATTGTATTCCATTAAAAAAAAATATGCTCCATAACTTTCAAGACCTTTACACAGAAACTGACTGTGAAGTTTAATATTTGGTTCCATCAACATTAACAGTCTATAATCGTGCAACCTGTGTCTGAAGAGCTCTATGTTAATCTATGCATTAGCTCCATTTGATTAGCTTCAATGTTTGTAAATGGACTAAATTCAGCCTGGCTGTGTTTTATAAACAAAAACATTCATCCAGTGACACGTTGATGTGATCGGCATGATTCAACGATGGTACAGTCCACAGTCACTGATACTGTTGATTATAGTGCTATGCTAACAGCCACACACCATGATGTCTGGTCCTCTTTAACTGGAGCGCAGGTGTCAAACTTTTTAGCAGAGCTTGTAAAATCGGTTTCACGAGAAAGTGACCAAATTCATAGGTAATACTTGCTTGATTTGTACTGCAGTGTGTACGATGTAGTCAGTTTGTCATAACTAATGAATGCTACTGTGTTTGCATCGCTTATGGTCTGAAGGTGGAAGTTATCGCTAATGTAGATTACTGTTAAGAACTTTTTTTTGCATTTTTATTGGAGCTGTCAAAGCATTATATATTAAGACAAAGATTAATAACAGCAGTAGCTGTAAATTGATCACGATTATTCATGATTAATTGTGAAGGAAATGAAGGGTGATTAATCATGACTACTCATGTAACTGCCCTTTTTAAAAGATTTTAAAAAGCTGATTACCTAATGGTGTTTTTTTTACTTGTGATTGACATCACACTGGAGACAAAACAGTTATTTAGAAGAAAAATATACATTATTTTTATACTTCCTAGACTAGTTGTTTTGGCAAGGATTTCCCTGAATCCCTTGTTCAAGAGACTGGTTCAGCAAATATATTGTTAACATTAGTGGGACAAACAAATCAAAGTGGAGTAGAAATGAACAGTGGGTGTTCAATAATAGAATTATCAATAACCGTCACATTTCTAGCTATAAAACAGTTTCTTTTTTTGTATCTTACCTATGAAATAAAGACGGTAAATATATTTAGATGCTTGAACCGTGTAACTGTGCAGAGGTTTCATCTTTGAAAAAGTGTTAAATGAATTTACATCCTGGCATTTCCAGCACTTTCCAAAGCCATCGCTGTACTGTGGGAGAAATATTGATTTCTTTATCAACCTGTCAGCCCCAAAGTGAAGAAGCTTACTTTTCAAAATGTCACAATTCCTTTTTTGTCAGAGTAAATCTATCAGTGGCCGTGAGTTATTATCAGCTATTTAAAGTAATTCAGAAAATAAAGTAAGTTTATAAATCATTATTAGTCCATTTTATGCATCCTTTAAAAAGTATGCAAATTCCAGCATTGGTACTGGGTTTTTCTTTTTTTTTTGCTTTATTTTGGTGGATAATCACAAGGACACATCATTCATTTTCCAGATTCCGTGTGACTTTATGTCATGACTTGCAGGGTTTGCAGTAATATGTCAAAGTCGACACAGCCTCGTGTCCATTAAAGGGCAGATGCAAAGAATACTGAGTCAGGAGATGAACGTCTAACTCACATCTCAATTATTCCCCTCACTGTAGTAGTGCCGAGTCATCGCTAAGACAAGTTTCTACCAGCGGCCAAGATTGCTTCTGGGACAGGGATGCAATATGGTCCAGGGCAATCTATTCTTATGTCAATATGTCACCACACCAACGCTACTTTTTATAATGCTGCTGATTGTTAGTGCAAAGCTTCTCTGACTGAACTCTGTCTGGTTGATAGTACTGGGAGTCTTTGGCCCCAACTTGATTCAATGGATGATAAATTCCAGACTTGGTGTCACAACAGTAACCTGAGCTGTGGTAGAGTTGGCAAAAAGTTAGGCAAAATAAACGTTTGTTCTCTAATGTGTTATCAGTTTCAGCCTCTGGTTTATATTTAAAGCTCGGCTGCTTCACGTCGGTGATGAAGAGATGTGTTTATCTGCTGGTATTGATTTGTTTTATATACAGTCTGTCTTTGTGAATAAGTTCTTATTTAATAAAATAGTAAATTCTATGAAACAATTAAGATGTAAGAAATAACAGCGGGAAGACGACAGGACATAATTGAATCACACTGTCGCAGTGGAATGCAACGCTTTTTTCTGTATCACAGAAAACTCTGGCAGGAAAACTAGAGAAGTTAATCACAGTTTGGACTTTTGCCAATGACAAGACCAATTTAAATGGATGAGGGACGATGGCGGCGGCGGCAGCGGACACTCATATACATTCAAGCACATATTCCTGGAAAGCAAACATTTTAATGTAGTGTTCAAACCCCAGTTTCACACTCCACTGCACTATTAGGCCTGATCTGTGAGTTGGAGCGTCCTGTTTGCTGCCTCTGCAGTCTATAAAGTAACATGTCTTTAATTGTCCACGGTCTTGTTTAGCTGTCCTCCCTTTTTTATCATCCTGTCCCTGAGACAGGCGTCCTGTTTAAGGGATAAACAATTCTACTGCAGGCGAGAAACTTTCCTACCTACAGAATGGTACAGTAATTCATCACATACGGTTTCAGCAAAAGTTGGTGCATTTGCTGAAAATGAATTTTTAAATAATAGTTAATTTATTTAAATAATATTATAATCTGATAACCATTATTATTTTTGTATTTTTTTTATTATTTGTTTGAACATTATTTACAGACTAAGAGACAAAAAAAAAAAAAAGTTTATCTTCAAACGCTAAAATAAAATGATTTCTACCCAGTGTTGCCAGACACATGAAAAGTATTGTAATTTAATCCCATAATGTACAATAATTTAACCCCTTCATCACGTGGACGAGTTCATTAGCACAAGACAATATGGACATTTATTCAAACCATTTGCAGTCCAGATCTAAGGATCTACTCTAGTACAATCTCAGTGATAATCACATTGAGTCATCACTGAAATATTCAATACACTAGGAATGGTCAGTCATTACATATACAAAAATATAAAAATTGCGTCCTCAGTTTCCAAACTATTTAAGAATGTATTCAAGTGAAAGTAATGCGACCCAGTGTTGAAGCTGTTTTCATTCCAACTCTTACAGAGTGAGTTCAAGTTTTAAATTAGTTTATGTTGTACGGATATAAATCGTAATTAATTAGGTTTTAAGTACAACCAATTCAAATATGAGTTTTTGTTGTATTTTCGCTCCTATCCAAGGTTGCAGCTTATTCACAGTATATAACCAATCAGGTGGCCTCTTTATTTTTATCCCACTCAGACCTGAGGAGATTAGAACTTATCAGTATGTGAATATAAATGTTGCCTTGTTTAAATACAGTTTTGATACTCTATATTCTGGTCTCACATTCATTAAATCTAATGTCATTTCTAGAGCTGTCCTTCACGTGGATTTTCAACCAGTATCCATCGTTTATCATCGAGGACACGCGGCGGTTTGTGTCCCAGAAGAACGGCAACCTGTACATCGCCAAAGTGGAACCTTCTGACGTAGGCAACTACACGTGTGTGGTCACTAACACGGTCACTAAAAGCAGCGTTCAAGGACCACCAACTCCTTTAGTGCTACGCCATGATGGTACGATAACACCACCACAGTACACAGTATCACTTTTTACCCTGTAAAATACCTGTATTTTGTTTTGACATTCTTCTTCTGCCGTGACCTTTTCAGGCCCTGTTAAACTTTTCGGACTCTTTTTTTCCCGTCTCCAGGTGTGATGGGTGAATACGAGCCAAAAATCGAGGTTCAGTTCCCTGAAGTTGTCCCTGTCGCTAAGAGCACTACTGTCACACTGGAATGTTTTGCACTTGGGAAGTATGTGTTTTATTTTTCTGGCCATAAACAGGCTGTTCTTTGTTTACTTTGCCAGTTTGTGCTGCTTGGTGATTGGTGGATGGAGACTTGATTTTTATAATTCTCTAAGAAGTCAGTGTTGATGAACTGTGCAAACATTTTTGATTGTTTTCCTTCACAGACACTTTACAGTGAGTTGTTTTTTTTTTTCATTTTAATGAACATTGTGTGCCTGCTTTATTGTCACACTCCCAGTCCTGTGCCAACCATCAGCTGGAGAAGACTGGACGGAGCCTCTTTTGGCAGGAAGGTTGACATTAATAAAGCCAGTGGAATTTTGGAAATCCCGTACTTCCAGCAGGAGGATTCTGGGATATATGAGTGTGTGGCGGAGAACAGCAGAGGGAGAAACTCAGTTCAAGGAAAGCTATCTTTCTATGGTGAGTTGAACGATGGTTACACCAACGGTGATTTATTACTCCCCTTATTTCACATTTCATATCCCTGACAACATCAGTCTTCCATCCGTTGATTCACGGCCTGAAAGTTTCACTTCAGCTCAGTCCGATTGGATCTTTCCTGACGGTGTGCCAGCTTTGTGCGGGTCTAACGAAAATGTTTTATTTGTTGTCATGCAATCTGTAGCTTTTATAAGAAGTAATATATAACGGCATCATATGGAGGAATGTGTGCAATGTGGTAGTAAATTAAGCTATTAACCCTAGTTTTTCTCCTGACAAGCTCTTTGTTTTGTGCCAGCGGCCAGCAGGGTCCGCTGTGCACGCAGATTTATGCCACCTTTCAGAGAGAGGTGATTTTTCCGTCACAAACACTGGACTTATGGCCCATATTCTGAGGGAGCTTTAATGGCCTTTGATGAAGGATTTTTATGGTCTGTCTCTCCATTATTTTCGCAGTTTATGCATTGATGAAATCTGCCCACAAGGCCCTGCGGGGCTGTGGCTGATTGAAATCATCAGATTCAGATTTTTCTTCCCCGTGAAGGAGGAGGTCTTTGATATGATAATAGAGGTTTTTTTCTTTAGCACCTGTGGGTAAAGATGAAATGTTCACAACTGTAGCTCGGCTCGGAATTAAACGCGTTATGCTCGGCTAAAACAGGAAGCACCTGTTAATGATACAGAGAAGAGACTTTATACTCGAGAGTAAAAGTGAAAAATAATATGATCATGTCAGAGTCACTTTTAATTTAAGCTTCTCAACAACTTAATTCGCACTAGGCTGCGTGGTTTTACACATTCTGGAGCCGTGTCTATCATCCGCCTTTGTAAGATTTAGGTCTTGTCTTATCACAAAGCCCCACAGACTGAATGGCTGCCAGGTGATAAAAATCTGTAATCTCATTTTAAACTGCCATAGACAGGAGGTTGTGGGACATCCATCAACTCTGTAGCAGAATAGAAGAATCAATAAAGGGATATGGTGTTCACGACACCCGACCAATGTGGCCACAGGAACAATAAGGGTTGACTTCTCTTTCGATTTCCTACTTAATTGTCCTTCTATAGTTCCAGGGGATTATGAAATCAGATCATAGTTAAGCACTTGACCGTGTCTGAAGGAGCTCACATATGATCACACTGACTTTGCGGGGAAATTACCAGCAGTAATTTCTTTGTTTCTATGTCTGGTCCCTGAAGGACCTTTAAGCGTGGCGTCTCAATGGAGGATGTTTGTGATGCTCTGTCACTCCTCAATCACAGTTTGTAATTGGAGACAGTTTCATTTTTTTTAACCTTGTAATTCTTCTGTTAAAATGCAGCCTAGCTCAGCCTTCTTTCCTGCAGGAGGTGCTAACACGCTCCTGAGTTATGAGTTTTTAATTAATCCTCACTAATAAGAATACAAGAAGAAGATTGATCAACGTCTTTTCCTCTGCATTTAACTTAATAACCAATATTGCAAGGGCCACCGTGGTAATCTGCGAATATTCAATCACGCAACCTTGCAAAAAATGTTATGCCATATATCACCCACACACATTTCCTTCTTTACAGTTTTCACAAGTTTCAACTGCAACCCTTCCTCACAATAAGTTAATGCTTGTTTGATAGCAGCATTTTAACCGTGAGGTCCAATACTGCCACCTGTGGTAGCTGAGAAAGGAGAAAATACTGACAGAGGGCAGTGTCACTGAACCATTTGATTTCAGGTGTTTTTATATATTTTGGACATACTGGACCTTTTACAACTATACATAACAAAACACATTTATGGCATACAGTGCTTAAACCAGTTAGCCTTTAAGCTATTTAGCCTTAAAAAGACAGCACGTTTGCTAACATGAAACCTGAACTTTCGATTGGAGTACAAAAAGATTAGTACAGTTTTCGATCTGGGAGTTTTCTGAGGTCTTGTAAAAACTTCACAACTCCAACCTCACGATTATCTAGTGATAGGAGAAGCTGTTTTCTCCCTATAAAAACCCACTTGTTCCAGTCCCACTCTGCCTCGCTCAGAAATTCATGACATAGATTTTACCGGAGATATGTTTCCATCTGTGACTGTATTCTCAACTGCAGGGAGGCAGATAAGGTAAAACGATGTTTGAATTAGAAAAAAAAATGTTGTAGTATGTATTAAAATTATTACACACCTTGGTAAGCAGATAGACTAACTACCTAATTTCCCCCTGACCGTGGCAGAGCATCCTGTATTTATGTGGGTGCTTCACATGGACCATAAATCTTATTACACAGTCGCTGGAGATAAGGTGCTAGTCATTTATATGGCAGCAGGAAAGCTATCATAAATACAGCGGCATATTCCATGGAAGGTTTTCTGTTATATTTTTGCATTGCTAATGGCTTTATTTTCTTAAAAAAAACACAGAATGTTACATATTGTAGTTATTGTAAAGTCTCTACATTGATGCGTCTAAATGTGGCTGCGGTATGTTGTACGACATCAGCCAGCTGGATTTTTAACCTTCAACCTCGTAGTAAACAGTTGCATACACGCGTTTTTGATCCTCCCCTCTGACCAGCTCATCTGAGCAGTTATATAGAGGTCAGTTTGTGTTAATTAGAAGTGGATTTATGATTAAGGCCTTTGGAAGCCTCCTAATGAACTAATTGCCCGCCTGGATGCTTTATTGATTTACTGAAAAGACACTGGATGCTGCTAATACTGCAGCATTTGTGCGGCATTAAATTTACCATATGTGCTTTTTGACCTTTCAGCTGCGCCACACTTCACTGACAAACCTCAGGATGTGCAGAAGACCATTGATGACACACTGGTGTGGGACTGTAAAGCCAGTGCCAAACCCAAGCCGTCGTATCGCTGGCTGAAGAACGGAGAGCTCCTGGATCCAATGGAGGTAAATAAAGCATTTGAACCAAGTGGAATTACATGTGCATGTGGGGTAGCTATGTATGGAACAAGAGATGTTCGCAGTTGGTTTGCACCATCAGGCACAATCAACACCTTATCAGAAAGTGAGGGAAGATGTTTTGAACCTGTGTGAGCATCGAAGGTGTGAGTGTGTTTCTATCCAGGCTGCAAATTGAACTGGAGCTTAAAAGTGGATTTAAGGGTAAAAAAACATGTAGTGCATTTGTTTTATTCTAGGTCACCCTGCTTTGGTGCTCTTCAACTTTAATGGTCGTTAAACAAGATTTTTTATTTTAGGAAACAGGTCTACAAAGGGGAGAATGTGGTTCACTGTAGACAGAGAAGTAATCAGTACTGCACGTGTACTTGGTAAAAATGGACACAAGGATGTTGAGAAACTGGGGCTGTCAAAATGAACTTGAATAAACCTCAACAAATTAATTTGTGAAATTATTCTTTCACACAGCCATCACCTTTTCTCAGATGGGAAACACCCAATAATATTGTCAAGAACCCAAAAACAAGCTGGTGTGAAACACACATCTAACTGTTATGTACCTTTCAGTTCAAGCAGCATACAGAAAGTCCAATTGTTCGACAGCATGACAAAAGAAAAGGCTACAAATAACTGAATAGTTATCTGCAGCTGATGTTTGTTTAGCTCGCCGTCTTCTATTGCTAACCTTCCGAGGAGGAGATCACATGATCGCAGGAGCAGCTTCCAGCAAATGACTCCAAACTTTCCAAAACACTCGACGAGATAAAATCCAATTTTCCTCTCTGGCTCTCACTGCCTCTCCTTTCTTCTCCAGACTTCCCTCAACCCATTCCCTGGGTCTCCTGGGAATAGTCGCTCTCACACTTTTCCTCGTTGCTCTTGTCCTTCTCTCACTTCACTTGTCTCTCTTTTACTTCCTCCAGCACTCTCCACTCTGCGGCAGTCAGAGAACCTCTCTGTGTTAATCAGAGTCTGTCCACACAGTCACACACTCCACATCCACACGGCCACTCTCACACACTGTTCAGTCATGTCATTAAAGTTTCTGTCTATCCAGTCTGATTACAGCTGATGAGTAAAAAGTACACACATACACATGTGCTTATTTATACACACTGTGAGAAAAAAAAGTGCTTCTTGAAGGAAAGCAGGAATTCACGCTGGATGACTGATGACTAAACACAGAGTGAAATTTTGTCTTATAATTTTCACTATTTTGACATTTTCCAAATCATTTGGTTTAGTCACAAAAAAAAAGGATTTTTTTCATATATGGAAATGTTTGACAATTCATCTCAATTAATCATGACTAATTGTGATTAATCCACAGTTATCCAAGTGTAAAATCGGGTTAAGATTAAATATTTGAATCGTTTGACATCCCTGATATTGAAGCTAACCAACTTTTATGCCCCACTGGTCAAGTTCTCTGGGGAAGCTAGCCCGGAAGCTTTTTTTATTCCCCCAGTGTCCCATCAATTCTGATCATGTTTGTATGTGTTTTGCAGAGAAGCCAAAGTAAGGCCATTTTCTGCTTGTCATAATTCAGGGACTCAACAATTTACCACTCGGTCCCTTCTATCTGCTCCTCTCAATTTTGTCATTAAGTCTCTTCTCTCCCACAAGGGTGAAAACTGCCTTATCATCCAAAATACATTTCACATTTAGGCAATTTGCCTTATTTCCCATTATTGTCTCTCTGGAGTGAGTGCTCTGTTCACTGATAGTGTCAGTGTTTGGATTGTGTCATGAGCCCAAGAGCCTGTCTGTTTTTGTTCCTTATCCCTTTTAAGGGATGGTTAGGTTTTTGTAACTTGGTTAACAGTCTGGTTAATAAAAGTGTAGTTCATGTTTTGAAACTGTGGTAATAACCAGTACACACTTTACATGGCCCTGCTTTGAGAACCCGGGTAACAGAGTGAGCAGCGTCCAGAATATTTTTTCCTTATTTGACTAGAAACAAAGATTCTCCTCTGTTGTTAGCCTTTGTTGCTTATCAGGAATGCACAACTTAAATCAATTTGAGAAGAAGCTCATTTTTGGTGAGCTGTAATTGTGATAAATGACCTTTGACATACAGGACGGTGACCTGTCACCTCTGTTAATGGTTAAAAATGACCATTACATTTGTAGTGATAGCATATGGTCTGAGAGAATGGACTTCTAACATGCTGGTAGCATCTGATGTTAGCAGATCTGCAGCCGTGATCTGGTGCCTTTTCCTTTTTATTAGTTTGGGAAATTAGCTGACAGGACTGGGGTCGGTCTGGAATGAAACAAATATGATTCATTTAATTAAAGGAACATTTCTATTGGCAGCGTTAGTATATATTTAGTTAATAATTACCCTAGAACAGTAGTGCCTGCACTTTGTTGGGTTGCAGGGTTACCTTTAAAAGCACCAGGCTTTGTAAAGAATACAAACAGAATATACTTAACCAGACATATTAGTTGGGGCTGTTTTATTAACTGCCCTCTTGGCACACAAAAAATCTTTTACTTATGTTCTTCACTTTAGTCAATGTGATGGAAAAACCTTTTCAAAAAGGTGCACTACCTTAGAGATCCATTGTTAGATTGCAATCTTTTTATTTGGCCTTCGTGTTCTAAAACAGGAGGGAACACTGTGATGTGAGTATATTAGTGTGTTTTTACTAACCTAACTCTTCCATAGGTTCTTTTCTGAACTCTGCCTTTAAGGATTTTTCATTCCTTTGTGCTCACACTGGCCCAGCAGCTGTGTGGTCCATCAGCCAGTTGTCTTTTTTGTCGATTGACAAAGGTCACATCATCTATTTACAAGACATCCTTAACCACAGAAAACCCCAATCACGTTACTATTGACGTTACTGTGGACATTGACAGGTGATGGCCCACATTTTGTCCTCTTGATAATAACATCAATTCAGTATCACAATTCATCCAAGAGTGGTATTAAACATTTAATCCAGGGCCGGTTCTCAAGATGGACGTTTTATTCCAACAGTAACGACTGAATGCTGTGATACATGGAGGGTTGTATAAATAACAAGCCGGCATGAGGAAATATGAATGAACCCATTTGTAGAAAAATCAAAATGTTGATGTTGTCGGCGCAGTGTGATTCCATCACAGGTCGGCCTCCGCTAATGTAAATAACACTCAAAAATCCTCTGGCAGGTGGTGGTGGCGGTGGGGGAACTTATTCTCTGTACATGTGACTATATTAATGAGGTGGGATGTTACCATTTTCAAAATGCCACCATCAACTGCGGCAACAGTAAATCAATTTCCAAACCCAAAGGTCAGTGATGAAGAGAGAGAGGCAGACGGAGAAGGACCATTTGTTATTCCTCATTAGAATGGATCAGTTCCCTCTCTCCCCCTCCCTCCCTCCCTCCCTCCCTCCCTTCCTCCCTCTCTCCCCTTCTCTTTATCTAAGCATCTCTAGTGCACCCATTCTCTTTTCTTATATTTTCTTCTGAGCCCATTTCCCCTCACAGTCCCTCTGGCCCTCTATCTCTCTCCACCTCATTTTGGGCCACCTCCGAGGGAATTAAATGGCGCAGAGGAGAGCTGTCACTTCAAAATGTCACACTAGTGAAACAAGAAGCCATTCTCCCTGGTAGGTCTCCTCTCCTCCTCCTCCTCCTCCTCCACCAGCAGCTCCTCCTTCAGTTACGTACACCACTGTGTTTTCCTCAGTTTCTTTTCCTTTTCGACCTCCAAAAGCTGACTTCTGAGGAGTTACTTTGTCCATGATTTGCCTTTACAAAACTTGACTCTGCCGTTATCAGAGAGAGTCGAGCATAATTAATGACCGCCATAAAGCAGACGAATGCAGCCATTTGTCTCGGCTGCTAAAGAGATTGTGATAGAGCCACCTCCGAGTCTCTGAGGCTTTCCTAACAGGGCATTAGGTACAGAGTAGTGTGGCACCGATCCGTGCATTTACACAGAACTCTTTCATCTCTCAGCCCCTTGGGCTCCTGCTCTGTGTAACCTAAAAGGACCATCTATTATCTATCCACGTTGCTGTGGCTCAGCCTCTCTTATCTATCGCTTCCTCTGTGTCTCTCGACCTCTCTTTCTCACTCTCTTCCTCCCATTCTTTTTCCTATAAACACACACAATCTGTCTGCTCCAGCCCAAAAATCATGGGCTAACGTTCCACTCTGAAGCAGCTGCATCCATCCTTCACCCCTCTGCTGTTATCTGTGCTCCAGGTCAGGTTTGGGTCCGTCACGATGGCAGGCTCCAGAAAGAACTCTGTTTGAAGATCTTTAGCAGTACCACGAGCTAATGTTAAAAGGACAAGAGTTGTCTTTATAAGTGGCCGAGTTGTAATGATTCCAGAGACAGACGGACTCTGACAGGGCCCTCTGGACTACTTTGTCAGTGACATTAAAAGGTCCAGGCTTCACTCAATGGGAAAGATCAAGGGCGGGGACAATTGAGTGCTGCCACACTTCAAGTGACACAACTATAAAAAAGGAAGTAAGAAAAGCAGGGGCCAAAACCTTTAAAGGTCAAAAAGAGCGATGGGGAGGTAGCAGAAAAACAAAGTAACACTTGATGTTGTTGAACTCTCTTTACTCTGTGTGGGCATTATCAAATGGCAATTATTTTGGAACAAACAGTCTTGCCTGCTGAGCATATTTTCCGATTCCTAACACTATCTGTTACTTTGTGGAGGACAAAAACCCTGCGTGTTGCAGCTTATCCCTGTGTAATTGCTCAGAGGGTTGATTTCAGCTGCTGTTTGATGATGTCTCACTGCTATGTTTAGCAGGAGGGGCTACATCTACACACCGCAGGGCTATTGGGACCACAGAAAATGACTAGTGTTTCAATTAAAAACCTCCCAAGGAGAGAAATGTTCCTCCGGAGCTTGAATTAGATCAGGCCACTCTTTAAAATGAACACACAATGCAGTACTGTAAATGTCAATATATGGCCCTTGTTACCCGCCTCCGCTGCTGTTACGGCCCTAATTGGACCGTTTCAAAGATTCTTTACTGAAACAGAAAATGTAGAAAAACACGTTGACGACATTGTCTCCTGTGTGTGACAGCTGTGCGAGTTAGGTGTCCATAACAACCTTCAACAATCACAGGTTAGCTTATGTTACACACCAAGGGTTCTCAATCTATGGTAAGCCTGCCATTTGTGCGACTTATTGTCTAGAAAATACGTTAATTGAACGGCGTTCATGCTTAAATAATGTTGTAAGTCTTTCCAGCGCATTGAACAAAGTCACCTCCCCAGCACAAGCAGACAAGGAGCCAGTCAAAGTAAAAGAAAGAGCCAGGTACACAGTACTACAAGTGTACTCCAAGATAGAGACAAAAAGATACACATGGAGTGAATAATGGAGGTAGAGATACACAGTGCTTTTTATGACATATCTGCACTACACCAACCAGCTCCAAACAGTTCCAGCAGAGAGGAGATCATGACAGGATGTAAACCCTGCACTGGGACAGCCGTTCAGGCACCATCTGTCCACCGTTCACTTTGTCTAAATGTCTGCTACTCATTGACAGGTTACTGTACCGTGGGCGCTCCATTTGTAAATCATGAAGTCGTTAAATGTACAGGTGGGTGTGATGTTGCAATTTTCTGTCTTTGCAGGACAGAGTTCAAGTGAACAACGGGTTGCTAACAATCAGCAGCCTGAATCTGGCAGACATGGGAATGTACCAGTGTGTGGCCGAGAACAAACATGGCCGTATTTTCACCAACGCTGAGCTACAAGTCACAGGTGAGATCCAGAACTGGGTTTTACCAAATTATTTTTATTAATTATTAATAATTTATTATAATTTTTGCATTTTACAGGGTTGAGCTGTGCTATATTTTGTTTGATTAGTTTTTATTTCTTTACTCGTAGAGGTAGAGGACAATTTTGAAATCAGAGCAAACATCCACATTTTATTTTTGTTTTATTTACAACTTAAATGAAAACCTGTTTAATTTCCACTGGTCTTGATTCAACTACGTCCATTAGCAAGGACTTTTCTTTGTTATTTTTTGTGTTATTTCATTTAAATAAAAAAAATCTCTATTAAAAGTTTTTTTTAATTTCCTCTAGTACATTACTCTGTTAAGTAATTAGTCATATTAAAGTGGTAGAATTATCCTTCATAGTTTTTTTCCATGAAACTGAATTTCTTAATTTCTAATTTCAATAAAACATTTTCCAATACTTTACTTTCTCTTTTTTTAAAAATAGACTGTAAAGAATCTCAGTACTCGTACTTGTATGAGCAGTACAGATATTCTCAGTGGAATTGTCAGTAGTATTGAATGAGCCAGTGTATTTGGCTGTGGTCAGTTGTTCCTGCAGTCAAACCTGTATCAACTTCCAGCTCCTAAATTTAGTTCTTGATCGACCGTGTGTTTCATCAGGTTCATCATGCTGACGCTGTTGTCAGCAATGTTCTTTCTGCATACACAGCCATGCACTGAGCGATATGAGCGCTGGGCCTGATGGGATGTTTGTTCTCGTAGACACTTTAAAAGCTTTTGTCTGTGATACGAACGGTTAGGCTTTCAGAATAAAACGCAGCTCAGATGGAGATCCTTGTTTATTACTTTTTCTTAATGGAAAAAATTGAAAGTAAATAAAAGGAAAAAATAAATAAAGTGAGAGAAGA